TCAACCCACAAGTCCCCCCCCCCCCCCCCCCCCCCAGAGATAGGCTGTAAAGACGGTTCTGCTTGTGCAAAATAGTGGGGGGTGGGTTACCAATTTAATGGAGTATGACGAGCAATTAAATACTTTTGGAATCCTACAGGGGACTCCGGTGCATGTAGCATTTGGTCCCACTCCGAACCATGTCCACATTCTGGAATAGAAGCACATCTTTCTATTTTTGCCGACTTCATCTCCACCCCAAGCTGAAGCCCAATTTATGGGCGTTCCTATGGGGGAGCAAAGGCACATTGCTATAACCACTGATCGCCTCCAATGTCATCACCTGAGCCCACATAAAATCCTAGAACTTCCTGAACATGCATGTACCCCTTACCAGCCGTTAACCAGACATGAATCAAACATCTGACACTGTATAAAGTACCAATGACCTATACTAGAGTATCATCTCCTGACACCCATTACACTGTATAATCTGCCGATTACACTGCATCATATGTAATGGATTACACCGCATAACAGCATCAACTGTCACCCGCTTTCCGGGCAGTAACAGAAAACTGAGCCCAGACCTGCCTGCTGTTTGGGGAGAGACTAGTGGCTTGTGTCCGGTAAATGACGGCGCTCCTCTCCAGTGCATACTTGATGCCAGGAGGAGATTAGTAGCGTGGTCACCGCCCCATCCTTCATTGGAGATTAGTCTAGTTCTGCACAGTGTGACCAAACAGCGGTCGGTGAAGCCTGTCAGCCATGCTAGCTCAGCAATCACAGGAAGATCCTGAACATACAAGGTGCTACATGCACTTGGTCCCCAGGGGGATTCAACGTGGATTTTCAAGCTCTGGTGAAACTTTTTAGCTTACCAAGAAATGCCAGAATACATTCAATTAAAACAGGGGTGGGCACCTCCAGCTGTGCCCGACGTGCCTCTGCGAGTCATGCTTGTAACTTTCAGTCTTTTTGGACTTGTAGTTCCACAACAGCTGGAGGGCCGGAGTTGCCCATCCCTGCTTTAAAACAAACATGTAGTGAGCAGAAAAAGTAATAGAACAGATGGGGGATGGCGTGCCAGCATACACACTTCATTGTATCTTTTTAGCCAGCGCTGCCTTCAGCTCTCCATTGTACTCTATGGCCTAGCAGTGGAAAGGAGGCATTCATCACAGAGCAGACTGGGGAGAACAGACATTCCTCGGCCTACTCCCCCCTCTCCATAACAATGGCCTAACATGGTTTGCCATGGTCTCCAGTCCCCCCCCCCCCGAGTGGTAAGGGAGGCTGAAAACCATGGCTGTGGGGTGTTCGGTGTGCATGGGGGGGGGGGGTCCACAGATCACTCGTACTTGGATCCCCCCCGCCTGACAATAAAATGACACCAAGATCAGGGCTGCAGCAGCTATGATCTTCAAATAACCACTTCAGGACCATATGGAATACCCGTGTCCTGTCTTGAAGTGGATAAAGCCAGGCCCAAAAGGCGCAGCCAAAAGATGAATATACCACGGCACAAAGTGTTTTCACCAGGCATGGACAAGCAGAACTACTACTCCCAGCATACCTAAACAGAATGGGTACATGTTATTAGGCAGCAGCTAAAGCTCCATGCTTGCCTCAGCCATACAGGAAACGTGCGGACAGTTTTCTAATAGGTGTGCACAATTATCTGGAACACAGCGACAGGTGCTTCAGGCGTACAGGCCCATACACGCCGGTCTCATTGGTGAATATGTCTGTCTGCGCTGCACCTATATCTTCATATTCAAATCAGAAAATAGGACTCAACAGAAATATTAACAGAAAGGTAAAAAGACCAAAAAATAAAAAACCTGAATTTGCAAACCCTCCTTCCCAGGTCATGGTGATCGGCTTACCTGTTTATCTAAACTCTGTGGAGAGGGGGTGGGAGTGTTACACAAACGGTCACATGGATCGTCCCCTGAGGGAGCTTTTGGGGCAGTCTTGGAACAGGAGGAAGGCACCCGGTTGCCCCTTGCATTCAGCACCACCGAGGAGCTGGCCGTCTGCCGAGCGGTAGAGTCTTCACAATGTGGAGAATCCCCCAGCACAACACTTCCCTGTAACAAATGAGTCAGGATGTATTAAGTTACAGATATACCGAGAGCTCCGGGCCCGTTCATCTCAGGACCGAGCACGTACTAACAGATTGTCGTCATCTACATAGAAAGCAAAGAGCGGAGAACACGCCAACATACATCATGTGAAGCGAAGCAACAGGAGCAGGTGATAGATGTAATAGATCAGTTTGATTCTTCCACCGAACACACAAAGCACCTCAGTCATCGCCGTCCTGAATACATCTAATATCAGGATTTGTTTTAGGTTTCTAAGCTCCCAGCTGGACTGCATTTTATTCATTAGACATTTATATAGAGCAGTGCTTCTTAAAGTGTGGGTCGCAACCCCATGTGGGGTCCCGCAAGATAACAGGGGGGTCACGATCCGAGTCCCCGGCCCAGGAAAGACGCTGACAGGGGGGTCTCTAAGGCAGTGACTGGCGCCGGGGGGAGAGGAGGAGAGAGGCAGTGACTGGTGCTGGGGGGGAGAGGAGGAGAGACAGTGACTGGTGCTGGGGGGGGGAGAGAGACGAGAGAGACACTGACAGACGCTGGGGGAGGGGGAGAGACACCGACTTACGCTAGGGGAGGGGGGAGACACCAACCGACGTTGGGGTACCTTAAAAATTTCTTCGGCCAAAAAGGGGTCACGAGTGGAGAAAGTTTAAGGCGGCCTGATATAGAGCACTCTTCGTATGCAAACTTCATATATTGTACATTCACATCTGTCCCTGCCCTCAGGGAGCTTACAATCTAAAGTTTCAATGTCACAAAACATAATGGGGCCAATTTACACCGGTATGTGTGTTTGGAGGGTGAAAAGAAACCAGCAGACTCAGAAAACCCACAACAAGGAGAAACATGCAGACCCCATGCAGATAGTGTCCTGGCTGTGACAGAACAGAGGACCCCAGTGCTGCAAATGCTACCCACCCAGCAAAGCTATAGTGACAATCCTCACTTTACTATGCACAGGTTAGATGCATACACATAACTTGTCTTTGTTTGGGGGGGCAGCAGCAATTTTAATTGGTGATATTGCCTCCAGAGTGTGTCCCCTGAAATATTTGTCACCATCATGTTTTCTGCCTATCCAAGGTCACCTGCCACGGGGAGACTTCATTCCTCCGTGTTGTGTAGGCTCCCTGCCAAGACAACCCCACAACACTGGGTGCTGCCAGCACGTATCCAGGAGTAGCTGAGCAGGAGCTCAGACAGAAAGCTGAAGATGCTCATTATTTATGCACAGGCGTTTGTTGGCATCAGGGACTTGGCGAATGTCGTGCCAAATTTCATTTAACATTTACGTTTTGGAATGAATGGAGTTCCCTGAATGAAAAATCACATCATTAGAATTTCTTTCAAGAAACATTTTCCAGCAAGCTCCTTCAACTTTTTTTTGGGCACGGCAGTCAAACTTGATAATCAATTTGACCCTCGTCAATGGTTAGAAAGGTCAAAGGAATGTCCCAAAATCAATTTGTTGGTTCTGGGTAATCTTACTTAAAAAGCAGCGGACTCATTCTGCTGCCCAGCTCATGGATTTCTGACTTGAAGAATCTAAAGCTGCTCATATATTATAGGCTGCGGATACAGACGGGTGATCGAATGCTATCTGGTCAAGTGGGTAAGAACTATCCAAAAGGAGAGATCTGAGAGCATCAGATACCATAACAAAAACATGGAGTAGAGGGGGCACAGACCATTTTATTTTAAATGACTACTATATTTTTATTTTATCTGGAAAATAAGTTAATAAAATCGGCAAGCTAATCGGTTATGAAAATAATTGTTAGCTGAAGCCCTAATTAGAGCTTCCCTCGGCGGCACATAGTGGAAGCCGGCCGCCATGCTTCTGTGAAAGTGCCGCTACACACCCTCCTGAAGAAGTGGTCACCTCAGAACCACAAAACATCTTAATTCCATCTCTATGTTCAGTATAATAAAATCGATGCGTATAGACGAGAGAGTATATCAAATCCATTCCAGTCCCCTAACTATGAACCAGACCGGACCTTAATTTGTATATCACTCGGCTGTAGATCCTACAATCTGTGAAATGGTGCCGATACTGTCCTTCCTTCTGGAGGGGGGCTACGTCTGTTCCCTATGGTCCCTGTGTGTGTGTTGGAAAGTAGTCACCGCTCCAAGCTCACTCCTGGGATGGACTACAATCTCAGGCTTAGTTTACCAATTTACCATCACCCCCTGGCCTGGGGTCTCTCTCTGGGTGCCCACATCACCCCCTGATCCTGGGGTCCCTCTGGGTGCCCACATCACCCCCTGATCCTGGGGCCCCTCTGGGTGCCCACATCACCCCCTGATCCTGGGGCCCCTCTGGGTGCCCACATCACCCCCTGATCCTGGGGCCTCTCCGGGTGCCCACATCACCCCCTGATCCTGGGGTACCCTCTCCGGGTGCCCACATCACTCCCTGCCCTGGGGTACCCTCTCCGGGTGCCCACATCAGCCCCTGATCCTGGGGTACCCTCTCCGGGTGCCCACATCACCCCCTGATCCTGGGGCACCCTCTCCGGGTGCCCACATCACACCCTGATCCTGGGGTCCCTCTCCGGGTGCCCACATCACACCCTGATCCTGGGGTCCCTCTCCGGGTGCCCACATCACCCCCCTGCCCTGGGGTCCCTCTCCGGGTGCCCACAAGAGGAACTGCAGCAGTAAATATTTGGCCAGGGATGATGGACTGTAGGGCAGACCAGAGATCGTCTTCTGGATCATACAATTACAGGCACTCTGCGTTCGCTGGGGAATGCCGTGTGAATCAGAACATCGCTAATTTCCACCAAGTGAATATTAATCTGAGTGGAAGCCGAAGTGCGAATGATTGAAATCTGATCATCAACATCACAAGCTGCAGATAGTAGAATCTCTGACACACCGATCCCTCGCTCCACATATATAACTGGGACACCAAAATTCTTACCCCCACCAACCTCTCTGCCTGGAGGGGAAGCTGTGCTGTCATACCGATCCAGGGAGGGTGAACTGACAAAAAATATATAGTACAGACTTGCCAAAGGCCTAAGACTTGCCAGTGAAGCCAGAGGATCAGCATGAGAACCAGGCCTCGACTTTCAGAAGATGTCTCCATTGCACTTGTCACATTTCTGTTCCAAAAGTCTGACTATATAGAATGTTTACACTCCAAGTCTTGAAGAACTCGAGCATGCCTGGAAGTGCCTCGTTCTATATATTTCCACTTATAACATCACATTTCTGGTCTTATAAAGCTCTTCAGTTGCAGCGGCTCCTCTCCTACTCGGTCACTGCACAATGTGAGCGTCTCGCAATGTGCATTAGAAGCTGCAGCAAGTCACACAGAGCCTGCCACATATCCTGACAGGACATCCAGCATCTTCTAGTCTTTCCTCCCCAGCCTGACTGTCCCTGGCCCCGCCTCTTTCATTCATTGGCTTTCTGTTTCAATCATGGAGGCTCAGCATCATGCGGGCATTGCCTAGGGTAGTCTGCATGTGATGTTTTCAGGAAGCCATGTATAGCACCCTGCCGACCCATCCCATAAAGAAGCACAGAGACCCAGTGATGACATCACCGGGCCTACAAAAAAAGCATGTCGTCATTAAAAACAAAAGGTTTTATTTTAAGACATATACGGCAAGATAAATGAGGGAAAGGAAGAATAAGGCAAAATAAAAACAAAGATTAACCTTCAGCGTGAATGCAATTAGAAAGGTTTGCCTTTTAGAAATGACGTCCAATCATCAGAATGAGATCGGAAATCTCTTACCTTGGTGCAACGGATTTGCTTGTAGATTTCGGTCTGTTGTCTTATCCGAAACTCTAGGTCAGAAACCTGAGCCTGCAACCAGGTCCACCGACAGATAATGGCCGCCCGCTCCACCGCCCACCTCCATTCTGAATGCCGGTTAGACCTGTAGAGAGATACGGCTTTCAGTTTTCTATTCATTGGATCCTCCCGAGACACAGAACTGGAAAGTCATTTATAGCCGAAGCGATGACAAGGATGTGGAGACGCGTCTGAGGCTCTCTGTACATGTGTGTGCGTGTAAATTGTGAACAATGCAAACAGAAGTACCGTGTACTAGGGAAGCACCAAAGTGACATTTGTAGACCAAAAATTCAAAATATATCATCATAAAAAGGACAAAAAACTAAAAACAGACCCTGATGATATTTCCCTTTTAAATTATAAACAATCGTTCTGCAGCCCCAGCAGCCAACGAACATGAAGCTCAGCACAGAGGTTTCTAGTTCACATTCTGGGAATAGTAAATATTTACCATCAACCCAGTCATGAATGGACAGGAAGTCTCTGTACTGAGCCACTTCCTGATCATATAATCAGCAGATCGTAAATATTTACTATGTCCCCATTCATAAACAGGAAGTGATGTAGAGCACTTTCTGCTGACTTTATGAACAGGAAGTGATCTACATCACTTCCTGTTTATTTATGAATGGGGACATAGTAAATAGTTACGATCTGCTGACTTTATGAACAGGTAGTATGTCCCCTATTCATAAATGAACAGGACGTTATGTAGAGCACTTCCTGTTCCTTCATAACCGAGGACATAGTGATCACTTGGTGTTTGCTCAGTACAGTGAAGGATCAGGAAACATGTAACATTTAGGGATCCTGAAGCTCCACCCCCTCTCACCAGAGCCTTCCACCCCTCTTGGCTTCCTGACCTCTCTTCTCCCTGAGCGCCAGCAGCTGGATCTGCAGTGTGCCCTCTCCGATCCCTGCTGCCTCTGTCGACACAGGCAGGGGGAGAGCAGCAGGCAACGGAGGGGACACAGACCAAAGCTTGCACCCAGCGGGGAGGAGAGAAGATGGGGAGATACATTAATTTTCGGCCGTTTTGGCCATAGTACCATTTTCGGCTGAAAATTCGGTGCATCTCCATCATGCCCAATAACCAGAATATCCGTGTTTCTGTATAGTGTTCAAAGTTTTAAAAAAATCTGGACGACGATACAAATTATGACAATGTCAGCAAGATATCAATTTACCTCCCACGAATCACACCGGGAAATGAGGAAAGAACACGGAAACCTCTTCCATCAGCCATACAGAGAGCAGAGGAGTCTGAGAGTCAGATCACAAGACACAGTGATGCAGAGTTCAGACACTGGAAGGGGAACGCCGCATTCCTTGCACAGTACTTGACCTCAAGTCATGTTTACATCTGGCAGGAAACCAGCCAAGATTTCTGGCAGCTCTACAATACCAAAATGTATTCAGCTGACCGGGACAATGCCGAAGAATCAAAGCCGGCACATAGAACTAGACTGTACAACACGGAATGACGACTCATTATGCTTCCAGCTGCTTAAAGGGACATTAAAGCATACTTCATTTCCCCCTCCCCCCCAATGTCAGCACTTACCTGAACTGATGTCTCTTAATCCGATCTTCTTTCCCGTCGTTTTCATCTGTCCCTCCAGCGCCGACTCCTCTGTCCTTGCTGGCACTTCCTGTCCCATGCGCGGCCACCCAGAGGAGCACGTGGGGAATACACAGGGAAGTTTCATCCTCTTTTAAAGAGGTTTTTTTTTTACGTCTTTGCATATATCTACTGCTTGCTAGCCTTATATATGTGCAAAAAACCTGAAGGTTTAATAACCCTTTAAAGAACTCCATTACTGGAGGTGCAACAACTAAAATCGACATAATCGATAATTGAAAAAGTTATCAACTTTTTCAATCATCGATAATCAGCTTCCGATTGGTTGGCCCTGTTCACCGCTGCCAGACCCGCCCGCATCCACGATCAACATGCCGCATCTCCCCCCGCTTCACGTTCACCGGCACAGGGACGCGGGGAGAAGTAGTAAGGAGAAGCAGGTGTGAGGGGATGACAGCCGCCAACAGACAGGTCCGATCTCAGAAGCAAGTTGCTGGAAGACTGCTCAGGTAAGCCTGCACTCCCCCCCCCCCCCA